TCCCTACTCTGTCCACCTCCCACGCATGCCTCTTGGGTCACCATCATGCCCTGAGGAACTTCATATGCAGCTGGGGAAGAAGGCTCATCCACGTGGGAAAGGGAGCGAATGGGGTGGACGGAGGAGAACTCGGCGCTGGGCTGAGGGTGCAGGGGCAGGAGGCAAGCGGAGCCGAGTCCTGATGGCAGGGATGCTGAGAGGACCGCGCCACGCGGGAGACACAGGGGAGTTGAGCAGGAAGGTCGCGAGTTCAGCGCAGGCTGGGAGAACAGCTCTGGCAAGGGGACGGTGTCCTTGCAGTCATCCTGGAAGAAAACTCTCTCTGGCCTTCATCAATACCAGAAGCCTTGGCTGGCTGGCTGGCTGCCAGCCTCCTCTGCTGAGCCTCTGTGCCAATAAATACTTGCTGGCAGATCAATTAAACCATCTAGGAACACGGTGGCTCACGGTGGCGGGCAGGCCCCCTCTGCCAGTCAGGCCCATGGTCCTCAGGGTCCCACTCTCCACCCCCAGAGGTCAGCCGGGCACCAACACCTGCTCGGTGGGCCAAGGGGAGGCAGGGCTGGCCCAGGGGCGGTTATGACCTGGGCTTAGGGACAGCTCTGCTACTTGCCAGCTGTGTGGCCTTGGGCAAATTCTTCACCTTTCCAAGATACAGTTTTCTCATTTATAAAGTAGGGATAATAACAGGAACATTGCCTCTGGGTTTATTGGGTAAACCAAAAAATGAGTAAAACACTTGGCCCAAGACACAGAACCTGGGTGGCATCCAAAAAAAAGTGTAATTATTATGACCTGCAAATCAAAGCGGCTCAAGACTGCAAGCCTGCCCATCTCTGTCTCGGGCTCTTCCCCACGTCGTGTGTCACCTACACCCCTCTCACCACCCCAGGACTGCAAGGCATGAGACGAGGTGACCCTGTCAGCCCTCCCGGCGGCCGGCACGGGGAAGGAGGAGCCAGGAGACAGGGAGCAATTGCAGAAACCAGCCCAGAGCAGATGGCCAAGGCCCGGCCCACCCAGGGGCCGACCCTCGCAGCAGTTGGGACATTTTCAGTGACATTCTCCCATTAGCAACCAAAGCCTGCCAGATTCACAGCCACTGCTGGGGCCTTCTGTATGCAACCAGCTCTAGAGAACACCGCGCAGAGCTCGTGCTGAGCCGAGTGCTTGAGGGCTCGAGATGAAGCCGGCGGGAGGAGGCAGAGCATCTCAGGACCTCACCCAAACTCACTGCTGATGGCAAGGGCCCCGCCCTTTGCTGCCCGGCCACCTGGCCCAGTGGAGCAGTCTCTCCTGTTTGTTCTCTTCCTGCCTTGTCTGCGCACGTCTCCACAAAGGGCCCACTGGGCCAGCCTGCCTTGGTGTGAATCTTGGCTCCCCCAGTTACTAGCTGTGTGACCTTGAACAATTTACTCAAGCTCTCTGTGCCTTAGTTTCTTCATCATAAAACAAATATAATAATACAGGTATTTGCTCAAAGAGTTGTTACAAGTATTAAATGAGTTAAAATTTATGAAGTGCCCGAGGACCGTGGGCCTAACTGGCAGAGAGGGCCTGCCCACCTGCCTCGAGCCACCGTGTTCCTAGATGGTTTAATTAATCTGCCGGCAAGTATTTATTGGCACAGCGGCTCAGCAGAGGAGGCTGGTGGCCAGACCAAGCACAGACTAAGCACTATCTAAGTGTCCATTACTAGTGGTGGTGTTACTACTTTGTCATTATCTGGGCCCCGGCCCCAGTCCCCTGCAGACTGCTTGCCCATCTGCCCGGCCTTGGCTCTGTGCTTCTCAGCTCACTCGGAGGGCAGGGCCCCTGGACGCCCTGCAGCTCCCAGCAATGAACCCCAGACACCGAGCTGTTTCACTCGAGGCACGGCAAAGAACACGTCTGCAATAGGAAAACGCGCTTCCAGGAGCTCCTGCCTCAGCAAACACGTGCTTCCCAGTTAAAGGCGGTCAGCCCTTTCTCAGTCTCGCCTGTACAGTCACAAAAACTGAGAAACTGGGAAAATGATATCCATGAGCTCCCTTCGTCACATTAGTGGAGAAGGCTCTATTCAGGCCGCTTTTGTTCAGTCCACAGGTGAACCCAGGACCTGGCCCGGCTCTCCTGGTTAACAAAGCACTGAGCGCCGACTGCTGCGGGTCTGCTCCGTGCCGGCGAGCTTTACCATGCCCATTCTACAAAGGGGAACACTGAGGGTCGGAGAGAGGAGGTCATCCTTGTCCAGGGCCTCCACAGTGCTGGGGCCAGGGTCTAACCCAGTCTAGGAGGGGTCCTGGGAAGAGTTCTCTCCCCCATGATCTTGCGAAGCAACCCCAGAGAGCAGCCCCGCCATCCTGCTCTGAAGCCTGTCTCTGACTGCGGCCCCCTACACGCCAGTCAGGCCTGAGTTTGGAGACCTGCCACCACGTCACAACCAATGTTGGCTCAGAATTCTCCTCATGCACAGAACCCCACCTTGGGTAACCCTCCCTGCCTAGGACTCCATAGCGCCACACCCTCTCTGGTGCCCAGGGACCCACTGGTGGACTTCAGCCCAAGTCACCAGCTATAGGCATCACACAGTCCCTTCCCAACCTGCCCCTGTCAGACTCCCCTGCAATCTGCCCTATGGCCCACCCTGTAGCCAGGGCTTGTCCCAGGCTGACCATGGGCCTGTCAAAGCCCAGAAAAGCTGGGCTCCCCCTTTCTGCAGTCACACCCTGCCCAAGATAGACACCATTACTCCTATCTGGAGACCAGGCCAGAGCCATCGCAGACAAGCCAGTCCTCTCACTGTACAGGAGATGCCACAGGCTAGCATCACATGACATCTGGCCTCCCTTGCCTCCTGAACGGGCATTCCAGCTTCAGCCAACCTGAAAAATACCAGTGGGGAGGAGGATGGAACACTCCAAGTTTAGTCTCACCAAGCTTCTCCAGCCACCTGAAGGATCCAAGAGCTCACGATGCCCCAAACACGACCGTCCTTTCCCACCCAGCCCCCACCAGCATTGCACCAAGGACACCAAGGAGCTCACCTGCTCCTGCTCCTACCACATGTGGAGGGTCACCTGTGTCAACCTAGCTTTGCATCTGAAAACCAAGCAACAGAAACTACCCGAGTGTGGGTCAATAACCAAGAGGAAGCCCACCTTGTGGGCCCAACCGTGGCTCAGGTAGCTCCCACTGGGGATCAATGTCAGCTCTTAAGCCCCATACCACATTATTGGTGCTGCCACCCATGATCTCACAGCAGCTCTGAAAGGGGCCTGATACTGTCTCATTTTACATTTTAAAATGAGTAAATTTAAAATGAGTAAAATTAGAGTGATCCACCAAAGACACAAAACCACTGAGCATTGGGGATGCAACGTGGGTCAGACTCCAGAGCCTTGGTCCACCAAGCCCACCCTTCCAGTCCAGTGATCGATGCTGGCAGGAAATTTTCCAATTCCACTTAACAAGAGTGTTTGTTGCTGCTGTTGGTTTTCTCAGCACTAGGGTTTACCTGGTCCCCGTGTCTACGAGGGTTCCAGACATTCTCCACAGGCACGGGGATGACTAACTAGCCCTTCTCAGGACACACTCATCTGCTCCTGGATTTACCCAGATAATCAAAGAAAGCAGAACAACACCTGCCATTCAACAGCAATCTTAGCCAAACGACCATGAAAATGAAATAGGAGCAAGAAGGTTGCCTATGATACCAGAGGGCTGAGCACCAGCCACTCTCTGCCAGCCTGCCACCCTTGGGTCAACCTACCCTACACTTGAGAAAATGTAAATTTTACTTGAGTAAAATCTTGTTCTTGACTTCTTTTCTGGTGTTACTCTCATCCCTCAACTAAAGCGGGGAGCATGGGAAAGAGTGGGCTTCGGAGGCTGAGAGACCTGGGGAGGCCCTGGTTCTGCTCTCCATAGCTCTGCTCTTCAGTTTTCTCATCTCTGAAATGGGCGCAATTATATCTCTGGCTTTGAGTGCCCACCTCCATGAGCTTCGTCAGGGGTATGCCAGGAAGTCTGTTTGGACAAGGAGCGTGCGAGCCCACGAGGCCCCACTCAGCTGGAATTCAAGGTGGACAGGTGGCCGCCCCGCCTCTCCGAGGCTCCCTCCTAAACCCATACTGTTTTCTTACCACGATTTTAGGCTGCCTCACAGAATGATTGTGCACGTAAATAAGAGGCGGCAGAGAGGGGTCAGGGGTCAAACCCGGCACCCTGTGGGCTTGGCTGCAGCCTGCAAGGGTGTTTTCTTTGCCTACACACTGTTTTCAGTAGCTGTCAACTTTAAAAGTTGGGACAGTTCACACAAAATCTGGATTTCTGGGTCCTCTTGGAAAAATCTGAAGATTCCACAACTCGCAGCTCTCATTCGCATGAGGTAGTAATCAGCTAGAGATGAGAGGCGGCTGCCCCCTCTAACAGTGTACCAGGAAGAGCCGGAATCTGGGTATTCAGCCCCTGCATACAGTAGGTGGTCAATAAATGATAGTGTTATCATCATTACTTATTATCCATCAGTAGCTCGAGCGCACGGCATTCAAGTGCAGGCACTGTGTTTTCTACTTGTGACTCTCCTCCCACTGCGAGTTTGCGGCTGGGCACACAGGTGATATCATTTTGAATACCCTTACGCAGACTGAGAGATTCATAATTGGTATCAACACTCAAAGCTGTTGCTAGGTGCCAGGCACTGTTCCAAGCCCTTCACACATGGGATTATCACATTGTTCGATCCTCACAACAACCCTGACCAAGATTACTATCATTGTGCCACTTTTGCAGATAGGGAAACTGAGGCACAGCCCAAGATCACCAAGCCAGCAAAGGAGTGAGGCAAGGTTCAAACTCAGGAGCCTGGCCCCACAGCCCAGGTCCAAGCCACGACTCCACACTGCAGGATTATCCCCAGCGATGCTGGAGGGCGGGGCCTCCCTCCCCAACTCCCCCAGGGACAGGCAGGCGGCCCCCGAAAGCCCCTGGCCTCCCCTCGCTCAGCAGGCCACACTTACGGTCAAGGCCGTTGATGTAGCGCATGGTGACTTCGCAGTGGCCCCACACGGCACTCACCACCGGGTACAGCTTCTTGCCCTTGAGGCCGCGGAAGGCCACGCCCAGGTACTGGCCGTCCACGACGAAGCTGAGCGTGCCCTCGTCCATGTCCAGCACCACGAGCAGTGAGTCGGGCAGCGCGAAGGCCTCCTCGGGGCCCAGGAAGGCGGGGTAGGCCACCCCGGGCCGGTTCTTGCCGTCGTGGTAGAGGCGGCTGCGGCCCAGGTCCCAGCCCCACGACTCGGCATCACTGCCCACCAGCGCGGTGTAGCCCACCGAGTGCAGCGGCGCGCGGGCGGTGGCCACACCCACGACGGCGTGCGTGCCGCGCTGCCGGGCCGGCCAGAGGATCTGCCAGGCGTGCAGGCCGCGCGCGTGGCCCACCTTGCCGCGGATGCCGTCCGTGCTCTGGGCCACTGGGTGCCGATGGAAGGTGAGCCGGTCGTCGTCCTTGACGAAGACGTTGAGCGAGCGGTCCTCGGGGTTCCAGGCGTGCCGCAGCTGCACAGCAGGCCCGGCCGCCGGCATGTCCAGCAGCTGGTCCAGGCGCGCCGGGCGCCCCGGCTCGGCGCCCCGCAGCTCGCGCTTGGCTGGCCGCAGCGCGGGCTCCCGCACCTCCACTGCCTTGAGGCTCCCCGAGAGCTTCTGGCCCATGGTTCCCTGCCCGGCGCTGCGGGCTGCCGCTACCTCCTAGGAGCCTGCGCTCCCTGCAGCCGGGGACGGGCCACCGGGCTGGGAACCAGGTGTCCGGATCGTACACCTCCACAGCCTCTACTGGGCTGGGGCAGGGGCCCAAGCTCCTGGAAGGAAGCAGAAGACACGGGTTATAACAGCAGCAGCAGCAGCGATGTATGCCCAAGCCTTGGCTGAGCTCTTTGCATGAATAATAATAATTCATCAATATCGTGATATCTGGCACTTATCTACTCCTTGCCGTATGCCAGACACTGTTCTAAACGATTTCCATTTAATAGCTATTTAATCCTTAAGATGTCCCTATAAGACTTATACAGTATTTTATTCCCATTTTATAGATGAGGAAAGCAAAGAGCTGAGAAGGGATAAGTCATTAACCAAAGACCCACAGCTAATGAGGTGCTCCGCCAAGATTCACACTGAGGCCATCTGGCTTCGGAGTGCATGTTCTGCGCTTAGGGCAACCATAGGCAATTTTATTTTGGATATAAGGGTTGAACCCAGAGAAGTTCAGTGATTTGCTCAAGATCACAGACGCTGGAGAAGAACCCAGGTGCATTTGGGGACAAGCCCTGTGTCAAGGCTGGGGGGACACAGTGCCCAAGACATGGGGGCCGAAGATGTGCAGGGTGTAGCCTCTTGGTTCCTGTCCTGGCTGCCCTGGGAGCTTAAATAGCACCCAAAGAGCACCCAGGCTTGAGAAGCAGGACAGAGGGAGGATCCACAGGGTCACCCAGGGACATGGACATGGACGCAAGGCGACCATCTGAGGATGCGGGGGGCGGGGGCGGGTGGTAAGGGATCTGGGGTCCAGGCTCTGGAGCCGACAAAACTGCATCCACATCCCTCTCCCCATCTTTTAGCTGTGTCCACAGGAAGGTCTCTTAGCCTCTCTGAGACACCAGTTTCCTCATCTGTAAAATGGGGATAAAATGCTCTCTCTGGGTGGTGTGGAAATCTGAGAGATAATAATAAAAAGGGCCAGGTCTGAGAATCTGTGGGTGGGCTTTCCTCTCTGGCTCTATCCTCTGGGCATCCCACATACGTCCCTTCCCTTTGGGTAAGCTGTTTCTTTGGGCAGATAAGCACCATTAACAGCACTGACCCTGGGCAGCCTCCTCTGAGGCAGGATCCTAGTTTTCAGGGAGGAGGGCTTGACCACCCTCTCCAGGAGACCAGCTGGAACCCAGGGTGCTTGGGCTGGTTGGATGTGCCTGGGTGTGGGGAGAGATGAAGAGCTGAGCCCTGCAGCCCCACCAGACGAGAGGCCTGTGCCCTCCCCTTGCTGGCCTAGAGCTGCTAGGCTCAGAACAACTTCCCCTGAGACAAACCAAGAGACAGACGTTTTTCATGCCCTGCTCTGCCTGGCCCCAACCTCCCACCCAAACAGGGGCTCACTCCCAGTCAAAGTGCAGGTGGAGAAGGAAAGGGCCCCCTGCACACAGCACAGGCCGCTGGGCTGTGGATTTCTCCTTTAGCCCTCCTATTTTATTCTCAACTCCCATTTTCTTTCCTTTCTCTTGTCAGACCCTAGCTTCAGCTCATGCCAGCCCATCCAGAGAGCTCTGGCTAACGTCTAATCTGGGAGAATTCCAGAACACATAAAAATTTGTGACACTAGACTGTTCTAAGATAGCAGAATAAAGTTACTCCTTTTCATGTCCAAGATCACCCATAATAAAGGCGAAAGAGAAACAGAAATGCAAATTCTATCTTCCACAAAGCTAGAACACATTTGTAACCCGAACCGCGATTTATAAGGAAAGGCTGCCAAAAATAGTGAAGGGATGCCCAAGGCAGGGAAGACCCAGTGTGAGAAAACACCTACAGAAGCCACCAGTGGCTGCAGCTCCCAGAGAAAACTGGCAGATTTCTTCTAGCTGGCACTCCCTCAAGGAAAAAAACAATGATTCCTGATCAGGAACCGTGGGAACAGGGTATGTGGCCTGGCAGTGGGAGCTGCCTCTGACACCCTGGGACAGAGAACAGCGAGGCTAACAAAGGAAACCACAGGCTGCCATCTTTACAGGAAGCAGCGTGTGGGTGAGGCAGAGTGAGAGAAGGGCCTGAACTGGGGGAAGCCCATAGCTGCAGGTCTCTGGTAGAAGCCGAGAGAAACCACTGCCTCAGTCCTCTGAACAACATCATCGTGAACCAGGGTGCAATCCTGCTCTCCTAAGACACTTCCTGGCACCCCTTCTTTGGGCATCCCCTGCAAAATGAGGATCCTAGAAGATTTGCCTCTTCCAAAGAGGAACCAGCACATGACAGAGTCAACGATGCTAGAGGAGAAATCAGGGGGACAGGAAAAAAGAGGCAAACCAAGAAAATTCACCAGAAAAAAAGCTGTCACAAAGCAGATAAAAATTGTGACCAAATTTGTAAACTAATTTTGGGATCACTTATTTCAGAAGGGAGACAAGTAGTACAGTATTTTAAAAAAGATGAAATACATTTTACATAGTTATAAAGGCAACCTCCAGAAGACTAAAAATAAAATGAAAACCTTCCAAACTGTCAGAAAAAAAAAAACCACAAAATGAAACAGACTACACACTGAAAGATTTTGCTGTAAGAAGCAATAGAAGGAAAAACACAAAGAGATAGGCTATGATACTAAAACTAGACCAAAACACTCGCTATGTCAATGAATGACCATAATAAACTACTAGAAAGAAAAGATCCTGAGATTGGGGAATAAGACAAAATGCCCAACCAGATGCTACTTAAGAGAGACATCCCCAAAGTGACGTGACTGAGGGATGCTGGAAATGAAGGGTGGATACCCACCAGGGAAGTGTTACCTCGCACCAGGCAGGCATGCAAACCTTAACACCAGCAAGTAAAGTGGAATTCGGGGCAAATGATTTTAAGTGAGACAAAGATGAATGTTTTATAATAATAAAGAATACAATCCACAATTGAAGCTCTAACACACCAAACAGCACCAAAATTCAGAGCAAAAGCTACAGGAAATACAAGACAGACAGACAGATCCACAGCAGAGGGAGGTGATTCTAATTCACTTCTTTTAGCTCGTGACCAATCACTGGGCCAAATTAACTAAATACACAGAAAAGCCAAAATTGCAAAATTAATAAGACAAATTAAATTGATGTATATTTCAAAAAAAAAAAAAAAAAATTTCCCATAAGCCACAAATAAAACCTCCCCCAAAATCAGAAATATACAGAATCTGACAGCACAGAAGAAAAACTAGAAATTAATCACAAAACCATGGATACAAAACCCTAGCACTTGGACATTTTTAAAAATTCCCTTTTAAACAACTCGGATCAAAAAAGAGATCTATACAGAAATTGCAGAATATCTAGAAAATAAGAATCACAAAAAACATTCCATATACTGTAACCCGTGGGATCCCACTTAAAGTAGTGCTCAGAGGAAATAATAGCTGGTGTACTTATATCAGCAAATAAAAAAGAATGAAAATACACAAGTTAAGCATAATAAAATAGAAAATAGAACTAATCAAGAAATCTGTGGAGGCTGGCCCCAAGGCCAAGTGGTTGAGTTCTTGTGCTCTGCTTTGGTGGCCCAGGGTTCGCTGGTTTGGATCCTGGGCAGGACCTAGCACTGTTCATCAAGCCATGCTGTGGAGGTGTCCCACATAGAAGAACTAGAATGACTTACCACTAGGATATACAACCAGGTAGTGGGGCTTTGGGGAGGAAAAAAAAAAGAAAGAAATCTGTGAGCTGATCTTTTGGGGAAAAAAATACCACAAAAACAAAACCAGTAAAACATAGAAACTATTTAGTTCAATCATTTAATCTATCATATTATGTTCTCTATTATGTTGTTATTAATTATATTATCTGTTATATTAATCTATCATGTTGATAGTATGTATCCTTGATATGATGTAATGAAACAACACTGTACCTCTGTGGTCTTCCTCCCCCAAATCTGGAGCCCCACTCTACCCATGAGAACAACACAGGACAAACTCTAATTGAGGAGCATCCAAGAAAATACCTGACCAGTATCCTCAAAATCGTTAAGGCCATCAAAGAAGGAAAGTCCAAGAAACTGTCACAGCCAAGAAGCGCCTAAGGAGACACAACGGCTACATGTAATATGGTGTCCTGGATGGGATCCTGGATCAGAAAAAGGATTTTGATAAAAACTAGGGAAATCTGAATCAAGTATGGCCTTTAGTTAATAACACTGTACCCACATTGGTTCACTAGTGTGATTAATGCACATTCTTATGGAAGATGTCAGTCATAGGGGAAACTGGGTGTGAGGATATGGGAACTCTCTGTACTATCTGCTTAGTTTCTCTGTCAATCTAAAACTATTCTAAAAATTAGTCTGTTAATTAAAAAACATTAAATTAACTTCCAGATTTTGGAAAATTGAAAAAAATGTACAGAAACTAACACCTCCTATCTCATTAACCAGATACAAATATTGTTAGTGTTTGGATTATTTCATTTTATTCTTTTTTTGTCTACAAAATATTCATGAACTTTCTTTTTAAAAACTGGCATCGTGGGCCTCTATTAGGTTATTTCACCTAAAATTAAATAATTAACATTTTCACATGTTACTAAATATACTTTCAACGCATGACTTCAATAACTAAATTTAAAAAACAGTAAAGCTTATAAAGCATTTAATCTAATCATTTAAAAGGGTGGGGGGAGAAGACGCATATCTGAAATAAGAAAATGGGAAATAACCCAATGGTCTAGCAAAAAGCACTCATAAAAGAAGCTTGATTTGTTTGTTGTTGTAACATGGAGAGATATGTGCAACACAATCACAGACAACTATATGACAAACTCCTACAAAAGAATAAGAAAAAACCACCCCAAAGGCAGAATGTGGAAAGATACAGCAAATAGTTCACACAAAAAGAAAAACAGATGGCTCTTTTGAAAAGATGTTTTACCAAATGCATAACAAAAGAGCTATGAGTTAGAACTACAATGAAATGCCATTTTTGTCTGTCAGATTAGAGAAGATCAAAAAGCTGGATAACATCTTCTTGGAGAAGCAGACAGGCTCATCCATCGCTAAACTGAAGATAAAATGGTAAAATGGTGTAACCTCAGCGGATGGAAAATTAGCACCA